GCAGACATGGGGGGGAGGTAAATCTATAATTAAAGGGTTATTGAAAATAGAGATTTGTGGCCTGACATACCCACCAACACAGTAAAAACCATTGGGCCCTTTGTCTCCAGGTGTGTCTGATCTACTTGAGGCTTTGCTTGCCAACGCCAGCTGGGTTCATGTTACCACCCGAGGACTGGGTAGGTGGATCCAGTATCCATTCAGACTTCACTGTTTTGAAATCTCATCTGAAAATGATATATTTTACTCCTTGTTGTACTCTTTGTTCAAAATCCAAGCATCCTAAGTTAAAGTCTGACTTCAGCTCAACTCATTATAAAAGTTGCCGAAGGCTTAGGACATCGCTATCACATTCCCAACAACAGGCAATGGAATTCTTTGTGCAAGGTGAAAATAAGCCATGGGGCAACACCACACAGTCTTAAAGTGCATAATAACCCAAGGAAATCAAAGCCCTGTGCAGGAGGCGGGTCACAGGTTTAAAGTCCACTTCTAATCATTTTAGTTAATAGTGAGTATTTACTGAATGTCCACTGTTGTCCAGCCCTCTGGCTTAGGAAATGACATTCCTTTCCATTGCTGTGGAAGCCTGAGTCCCCATCTTTCCCAGCATGATTCTGTTCCACACTCATTCATTTTGAGTCTCCCATCAATTCAGAATTAGAACACACCAATGTGTGATCACTACAGTAGCTTTAACACTGGAGTCCTGTTCATGAGACTCTAAAGGAAATGCAAATTAAGCCTTTCCGGGTCGTTACTGGCATAGAATACATACAGTTTTCACAACTGGAAATCTTAAGATTATGAAATGCTGCATGTTATAAAAAAGCATAGAGACTGAAAGTATAGAAGCTACTCCTGTGGTCTTACTCATCTCATTTACTCATCTGCCATCCTTGTTTGATGCTGTATATGTTTATGACCTAGGCTGACCTTGAACTGTAGATCCACCCGCCTCTCTTTCCAAGTGCTGGAATAACAGGCATGTGCCACCAGGTCTGATAGTGATGCCATGCCTTCTCCTCCTCCTTCCCCTTTTCTTCTTTTTCCCCCTTCTGACTCTCTTCTTCTTAGCACTTGTGATCTAAAAGTCCCAGCTCCCTCCCCACCCCGCCTCCATTTTCACTCTTTCAAGGTTTCTCTGTTTTGTGCTTTTAAAATTCGTTAAGGGGTATCCTTCACAGATGCATTATTTGCACTCAACATTGTGTTAGGCACTAGCTACCCTGATGCAAGAATGGTGCTCAGTTTCTTTGAACTATTGTTTAAATCCTAGTACAGGCCTGTACCACTGTTCTCGTCCTGTATCATATCCCTTTTGAGGGGTGGTAGTGGTTAGTCTTATCACCCCTGAGTGTGTGCTCGGGTGTCCCCAGAGATGATTAACTAAGAGGGAACTTGTCCTGAGCATACAGGGCATCGTTCCACATGCTGGGGGCTTTGCTGAAACAAAAAGGGGAAAGGAGGGTGCAGCTCATACAGTGCACTAGTTTCGTGTCAGTGTGGCTGTCCCCACACCCTCTTGTGGGGACCTTTTGAAAGCCTGAGCAGCCAAATACATCTCTCCTCCTTCATCCCCCTCACCTCCATGTTTATGTCAGAGACTTTTGTTCCAGTGATGGGACACAAACACAAGTGTCATTTAAGCTTCTTTGCAATATTTTGGCCTGCTATACTATGCTAATAGGAATGAGCCAGCTGCTCCTCTGGCCTAATGGGCTCTAATTTCAAAAGAAAGTCTCTTACATCTGAACAGTTCTCTATGATCTACAATGAGCATCTCCAGCTCTTATCCACTCCTGGCCAATCCTCTGTCTACACGAGCCATGGAGTCAGATTGGGTCCCAGCCTGTAAATCCTACAGTGTCTTCCCATCATGGCTGGAATAAATGCAGAGATCGTTCATAGCTAGGAAGCTCCCAATGTCTAGTTTCTCTTTTCCTAGTTCTCAGGAGTAGAGACAGAATCTCCTGCCTATGTACTGCCTTGGAACCAGGTGCCACCTGCTTGAAATCAGTACTTCCTCTCTCCCTATAGATTCCTCTCTGACCACTGGGTTCCTGGTTGTGTATCACCTGGTTGTATATCTTCCATAGTGGTAAGCATCCTTTTCTCCATATCTTCTGCTTTACCTTTGCTTTTATCTATCTTACAAATGATCACACCCAAAACTCTCTTGTATACTTCTGCTCCTCCATCAGAATGTAAACTCTCTGGCCCTTGTCTCCTCAGTACTCAGAACAGCACCTGCTACCACAGTCCTCCAACAACCCTTGCACAATGTTAGGGGCAGGACCTTGATAGCTCCTGATGGTGAAGCCTGGTGAAGATATGATTCTACAGTACACACACAAGCATGCAAGTATTGTTTCCCTGGGCTCACTGAAAAAGAAATGCAGGAACATGGGAAAACAAACATTGCATGATTCTACCTGCCAGGCAGTTGAAATTGTTGCATTCATGGGAGTCAGAGTGGGATTGGTACAGGGGCCTGGAGGGAGGAGTAAATGGAGAGTCACTAATCCCAGTGACCATCCAATGAAACAACTTGAACAGATCCTAAAAAGTTGCTGCTTCCAGTCAACAACACCATATAGTATACTTTCAAATTACTAGTAGAGCTTATATTAATTAGTTTTGCAATCACAATATAATTACTAAGTTAATGTACCCACAAGCTCACAAACACAACAAAATGGAAGAAAATACACTAGTTGAAGCCCAATGAATTGATTTCATAATCTATCTACAGATCTGAACCTGCAATAGAAACTACTCCTCTAGTGCACCTTACCTTGAAGTGGTTTTGTTCTTGAGTTGCTCTCCAATACATGAAATCTACACTACTAATGTTTTTTGTAAGAACTGATTAAAAGAAAAAAAAGAACTGATTTTTTGTTTGTTTGTTTGTTTGTTTTTTGAGACAGGGTTTCTCTGTGAAACAGTCCTGACTGTCCTGGAACTCACACTGGCCTCGAACTCATAGAGATCAGCCTGTCTCTGCCTTCCAAGTGCTGGGATCAAAGGCATGCACCACTATCGACAGGTGAACTGATCTATTCTTATCACTTAATTCTTGTTCTCAGAGGCTTTTCAAGTTTTTGCCTCTTATAGCAAAATCATACGTCTGTATCTAATGTGCATTTTCCTGATCACTAAAAATATTAACAGTCTAAAAAAAATAAATACGCCAGAGATTTTATCCTTAAAAAAAAAAAATGTAAACACAGCCAGGTGGTGGTAGGGAATGCCTTTAATCCCAGCAATTGGGAGGCAGAGACAGATGGATCTCTGTAAGTTTGAGGCCTGGTCTACAGATCCATTTCCAGGACAACCAAGATTACATAGAGAAACCCTGTCTCCCAAAAAACCAAACCAAACGGAACCGAACAAACAAACAAAAACAACAACAAAAGAATATGTAAACCAAATGTTTTGGTTTTCTTGAGACAGAGTTTCTCTGTGTAGTCCTGGGACTCATTCTGTAGAGCTGTTCTTGAACTCACAGATATCTACTTTCCTATGTCTCCCGAGTGCTGGGATTAAAGGCATGTGCTCTCCTCCCCCAGGATATTTTCTAATGTCTCAAGAAGACTAAGACTGTTCTTATCAGAACTTCACACAGGCAAAGTGACTTGGATGTCCCTTTGTTCTGTGACCTCACATGTTCTGTTTTACTTGCACAAAACCATATTAATAAGAAGTCTGAATAATGACGATTTTAGATTACCGTTCACTCATAGTTGTTTATTCACCCAGCAAGTGCTGATTGAGGACCTGGCTCTACCAAGAGTTTGGACAAACAAAACAGGAGCTGCTTCTCTGCTGCCTACTTTGGGGACTGGAGCCTTTTGTCTCTTGCAGAGGGTGACCTTTGGGCAGCTCCTTCCAACCCACATTATTTATTTATAAGTCTTTATGGTTAATATCCAGAGAAAAGTGTGTGTGTGTGTGTGTGTGTGTGTACACGCGTGCGCGTACACACACATGCTCTATTAGCTGCCAAGGACTGTGGGGATATCAATACCAAAGGAAAGTTTTTAAATGAAGGGGAAATGCTTTCACTTCGAGCGCTGTTTTAAATCTATGATTATAATTTAAGTCTTTTAAAGCACCCCGGTTTTTTCTATCTTCTGCAAGCACGTGTTTTTGTTTTAACTCTTTAAAAAGGGGGGGGGGAGCCTCACTTATTTTATTGGTGTGCCCAGTTTGCTGAGAAGGGCTATGAAAAAAACAGGTTTTTCAAACTTCGATAGTTCCCAATTTTGCCTTAAGACAGATGGACAATTCACATTGTAATCATCTGCAGCTTGTATCTCACAAAGATAAATCTCTAAAAACTTTTACTCTTCAAGTAAGTCTTTTTTGACCCGCAGGGAATGTTTGCTATTTTAAAACCCACGGGTCACGGGTAAAAACGGTCGACTTCCGAATTTGTCTGGAAGCATCAGGATTTAACTCAGCTAATGACTTCAGAGAGATAATGGTGTGGTTTGCCAGATAAGAAATGCTACGCCTGGGATAAATCAGCTAGTTGTGGGTGGTGTCGCTGCTGGGTTCTTTGACATTTGTTCATTTTTAAGAGATTAAACCACAGTAGAAATAAGAACGCTGAGGTTGGCTCTGCACGTAGTCTGGGCCAGCCCTCCCTCCTCCCGTGATGCACGCAAATCAGCGGGCCAGTCCCGGGACCACGGCAGTCACTTTCGCGCCACTTTCCCAGGACCGCACAGCTCCATAAAGAGCCTGCAGCACTAAGTCCCTAAAATGCTACTGTTTCAAAGCGCATTCAGCACTTTCCCGAGGACTTTCAGGATTACAAGAGTCGGAACCGCTTCGATTTTTTTTTTCCTGGGGCTTGGGTGCTTCAGGTACTGCTAGAGTTCACATCTTAGCTGGCAGGACCTGTGTCCCGGCGCGGGAAAGCCGGCGGCCCCGCCCCTCCGGCGGCGGAGTACACGCCCCGCCTCTGCCCCGGAGCTCCTGCATCTCCACTTCCAAGTGCTTGTGGAGTCCGAAGACCTGTCCCCGTTCCTGGTGCCTGGGTACCCACCGCCAGCATGGAGGCTCGCCGCGCGCGGGTGAGGCCCGGCCGGGTGTACCGGGGCGGGGTTGGTGGGTGCTGGACGCACGCGGGCCGGGGCCACTTCCCTCCGACCCTGCGAGTGAGAGCTGCTCTCTTGTCCCACGGCGCTCTTGATCGCCGCCAGGTTGGGGGAAGTCACATACTGCTTTTCTTCGGATCTTTGCACCCAGGGTAATTCTGGGCCAAGGAGGTGCGTCCTCTAGCGCGCACGGGGTTGGCGGCGCTCGGGCAGCCAGTGGTACGTGCGCTCGTAGTACACGTGCGCGCCGGAGGCTGGCGGTGGTGGTCGGCGGTCGAGTCCCAGCCTTTCCATTCCCCGAGACTTAGCCCGGCATTGCTCGCACACGGCGGGTGCGTGACTATCCACGCGTGCAATAATGGCCCTGGGACCCGCTTCCTCTGCTCTGGATCTGTGGGTTTAGGATTGAAGGCCTTGGGAACATCTCTTGAGAACTTGAGTTGTGCACGTGGGAAGAGGTATTGTTTTAGTCCCAGGCTGTAATTAAGCGCAGTTTAGGAGTCCAGCGATGCAAGCCGTGCACCACGGCGGATTAGTGTGTTTCCCTGCGTCCCCTCCTACCTACCCCTTCTCTACCTCACTTGCAGCTGCAAGCTGCCCCGAGTGGAACGTTACTTTTTTGCTCCAACGGAAGTCAGAACTTACCTCCTTCCCTGAAGAGGGTTGAAGAGTGGGGGGATGGGCGGAAAGGAAAACAGTGACGTGCTTCAAATAAATATCGGAGGTTCGGGATCCATGTGGGGAGGTCTGGGTTGGTAGGTGGGGTTTGATAACGGATCACCGCCCGTGGGGAATTGGGTTAGATGCACATTTGGGCACCTGACTGAAGGAATCGGTTTCACGTCTCCGAACTTCAGTTTTCTTCATTTAAGTGATAGTAACGATGCCACCTTCTCTGCAAAGAATTACACAAACATTGCTAGCAAGTCTGCTGCAAAAAAGAAAAGAAAAAAAAAAAAACAAACAAAAAAACCCACTCGCCATAAGTGGAACTAAGAGTTACACTGCCAAAAAAGCTCACCCCCGGCAAGGCCATTTGCTCTGTTTTTCTGTGTCTTTTTCATCAAGGAAATGTTTGGCTGGTGAATGACTCTTGATGGCCTGTCCTGGCTTGTTACAGCTTAGCCTGTTTCCCTGACAGCTTTAGATGAATGCCTCCTTTGAGGCTGACATGGAATGGAGGTAGATTGATTAGCAAAGTGAAGAGAATCGAAGTCATTAAGGAACAGTGCTGTTTTAGGCGATCCCTTGGTTTTTGCATTGTGTTGCCTTGGGCTTCCTCATCTGGAAAACGGTGAAGAGACTTGGGATCCCTTTAACTCCTAACAACACACACCGACTTTAACATTTACTGTAAACACCACACTTAATGAGGGTAGGTTGGGCAGCCTTCATCAGGGAAATGATTGTTTGGTGAGGAAGGAAGTCCAACTCTGCACCCCTAGACAGTCTTAGTCCCCATAGCACATCTGGGGCTGGTACTTGGCCTTTCAGGTTTTCAGTGGGAAAACAAACTGCTATTCCTTGACTCTATGTAAGATTATAAGAACTAATGCAATCCTTCAGAAATGTCATTGTGTTCTAAGAAATGGAAAAAAATGGCTGTGGTGGTTAAGTTACATTTTTTTTTTTTTAGTGAACAGTTCAGGGCTATAAATGCAAATGAATGGAGCATTTTCTTCAGGCTTTTCAACCTACACACACACACACACACACACACACACACACACACACACACACACACAGAGAGAGAGAGAGAGAGAGAGAGAGAGAGAGAGAGCCTGGGGCTGGGGATTGACCCTAGGGCTTTGCTTGTTAGGCAAATGCTTACCACTGAGCTCTATCCCTGATGTAAAAATTTCTAGTCTGGGGAAAAGTGCTACGTAGAGAGTGTTCTTAGAGAGCGCAGATGGAATCAGGTGTTAGCTGCCCTCCAGCTTGTATCAAGTGTTTATGGGCTGATAATACTTGATTTGTAAGGACTTGTGCAGAACCTCTGTATCCCTCCTCACTGGATTGGATGACTGCCATTTTAAAGCACAGGACCTGCCCAATTTTTGTATTTTGGTAAATTAGCATCACACTGCAGAGCCCAAAGCTTACATAAAAAGACCTCATTAGTTTGATTTTTGGCTGAGGGAGAAAAATTGCTCTGCCATCTTGCACTTTTGAAATCTCCTTTTAGAAGTACAGTTCAATTAGAAAAAATGAAGTTGGATTTTTAGGAACTGGCATTAAACTCTGGAGTTCAATATAATGCTAAATGCTTAAGACTGTAGGGCGGGAAGAGAAGTAACTGCAGATGTTTGGCTAAATTGATAAATATTGTTAAAATGTTAAATGTTCTCCAGAAGAGATCCTTTCTGAGAATTTTGACCTGAGTTGAAGGGAAAAAAAAAAATATTTTTAGTAGCAGTTGCCAGTCTTATTTTCTCTGTAGGGCCTGGAGAAAAAAAAATTGCATCTCTTCTGCTGGTTAAACCTACCAAGCTGAGAAATGATGTCTTTAGTAGTCCTATACTGCAGGAAGCATCTGACTTAATGATGTTGCCATTTCTCTTTGCAGCAAAACGCTCTCAAAGTAAAGAACTTAAAGAATGTCAGATATATGAAGTTGATTTCCATGGAAACATCGTCATCCTCTGATGACAGTTGTGACAGCTTTGCTTCAGATAATTTTGCAAACACAGTAAGTGCTGCCTGAGAATAAACAGAATTGAGTCTGCAATGCTCCAAATGCCCCAAAATGCTTTGTGCACGATTAAAACTGCTTGCTTTTTGCCTGCATTTCTATACAGCCGTTAGGAAAATATGGCATGCACTGTAATTTCATTTTGCTCTTTGCCGTGGTTCTAGGTAGTAATTGTTGGAGGTAGATTAGCTGCTTATTGTGTCCTTCTGAAATGTCGCCTAACCTAACACGACTGATGACTTGCTGTAACAACTCAGAAATCATTTGTAAACCTCTGTACCATTTTTCTTTGTAACAAAAGCCAGTCTCTTGTAGTGCACTTGTATATGTGATTTGCTCTCTGCACGGTTTATGGAAAATTGGTTCTTGAAAAAGAAAATCTCCACAACCACGTTTATTTATTTTACAGAAACCTAAATTCAGGTCAGATATCAATGAAGAACTGGCTAATTTTTTTTTTTGTTTGTTTGTTTTGTTTTTAAATTGAGGATTCTGATAATGAATCTTTCTGTGGCTTTTCAAAGGGTGAGGTGTAAGATTAAGCCATTGTGGATTTTTACAGAAACCAAGGCCAGATGTCACTAACGAATTGGCCAGCATTTTTCATGCCGACTCAGATGATGAATCATTTTGCGGTTTTTCAGAGAGTGAGATACAAGATGGAATGGTGAGTTGGAGAAGTTCACCAGTATCAAGAAGTGAGGTACATTTAGAGGCTGGAGAGATCTGCTCTGTGACCTCCCCCCCCCCCCATACCTATAGATCTCCTTTCAGTCCAGCTAGGAAACTGTTGACCAGATGGGGAATGTTTTCTTAATGTCATAAAGCCATTTTTACTAATACCCTGCTTGTAGGTATTACACTTCTTTTTTCCTTTTTTTTTTTTTTTTTGAGGTTCTATAAACCTTGGAACTTGTTAAATCAAGTTGGCTAGTCTTCAGATTGCTTCTAGCTGCAGATCTGGCCTAATCACAGATGTCCTAAAGACTAGCTGCATTGACACTTAAACATGCTGGTGCCCAGCCCAGTGTTGGCATGGAGCTGACAAAGCCGTTCTAGTTACCTGCATCTTGGGACCCTCTTAGGACTGCGTAGATGATAACAAGTAGGGCCTTCCCTGCGTCTGAGTTTGCTTGCTCTCTGGTCTGCTTTGCCTGCCTGTGTATGCTTCCCTCCCTGCTGTCTCCTAGCAGGTGGCACCTGCTGTGCGTGTGCTCTGCTCCCGGAATACCACGGGCTTAGACTCTCCTAAAGAAGTGGGGTGCCTAGACATCACAGTTACCTGCATGTTATTTTCTTTGCCATGCCTGGCAATGTCCCCTTAGAGGCCATCACTTGAATGGCACTAAGTGACAGCACTCTCCCCAAAACTATTTTATCACCATCGGTACAAATGCATGCCTCCTTCTCCTAATAAAAGACTTTGGTCTCAAATGGTTGATTGCCATTTGTTAGCTGGGGGCAGTCTGCAGATCTGGACGTGACCCACTTGTCTGTGGACTGATGACTACTCTAGGCAGTCTCTTAGCTCTTTGTAGGTAGTACCTTGTGATGAATAAAATGCCAGTTGATTGAAAGTGCTAAGAATTCATGACAATTTTATCTCCATCCGTGAATACTAAAAGTACACAAAATACTAAAAGCTGTCCATGGGGATCATTATTTGTTGGTACTGGGGATCAAACCCAGGGTCTTAGACATACTAAACATAGACTACCACTAAACCACATTCTCCTTCCGTTCACTGTTTTGAGGGTCTGGGGAGATGGCTCAGCTTGCCTTGCAAGTATAAAAACTGGAGTTTGATCTCTAGAAGCCTACATAAATGCTTAGTGGGTATGGTGGCTTACCTGTAATTCCAGCTTCTCAGAAGGCTGAGATAGGATCCCTAGAGCAAGCTGGCTAGCAAGATATGGCACATCAGTGAGCTCTGGGTTTGATTGAGAGACCCTGTGGCAATTAGAAAAGTCAGGGATGGTTCCTGATGTTAAACTCAGGCCTACACGTGCACACTCACACATGTGCACATGCAAAAATGAGAGTAATGTGTTCTTGGATCTTTATCTAGGAGTAGATGGCTGGAATAACTAGAGACCATTTAGCTGTACTAATTGGTATGAAGTGATACCAAATTTTAGGTTTTTTTTTTTTTTTTTGAGACTGGGTTTTTCTGTAGCTTTGAAGCCTGTCCTGGAACTAACTCTAGGACGAGGCTAGCCTCCAACTCACAGAGATCTGCCTGTCTCTGTTTCCCGAGTACTGTGATTAGAGGGGTGCAATACCACTACCTGGCTATGATACCTCATCTAGATCTTGACTTAACAAAAAGTTAGAGTGATTGATACCTACACTAGTCAGATTTGAAGAGTAGAAAGGTGGTGGTTGCCAGGGACTGGTGGTAGGAGGAATCAATAGTTTTTGCTTGTTTGTTTTTGAGGCAGGGTGTGGCAGTGTAGCTCAAGCTGGCTTAGAACTTGCTGTGTAGCTCAGGGTTCCTACATGTAGGGCTTAACTGACATGGGCCATCATAGTTGGGTACAACACAGCTTACTGCTGAATGGACTTGAAGTTTCAGTTAAGGAAGATAAAATCTTGAAATGGTCCAAGTGAAGGCTTCACAATAACGACGTGCATCTTAATCACAATTAAAAATGAATCGGAATTTGATAATTTAGGATACTATGTAATAGCATCATAGGCATCAAAACCACGTTTATGGGTGAACATAGATGTTCCTAGAGGGCTTTATGAAAATGACTAAGAATCATTCTTAAGGAAATGGGAGGGGGCAGAAGTTGCCATGTTTTAAAAAAATGATTCAGAAGCATAGTGAAGGTGGCCCAGCCTTTCATACGAGCAAGGGAGCGAAACTATTCTCCGGTTGTATTCATTTGCAAGTCTTGATTTTATTATTACCCATGATCCTTGCTGCCCTTAACAACTCTCTTGCTCTGGTTAACTGTAGAGACTGCAGTTGGACAGGGAAGGCTGCAGGACTCGAAGTCAGTGCCAACACTCCGGACCACTCAGGGTAGCCATGAAGTTCCCAGCACGAAACACCCGGCGGCCAGCCAACAAAAAAGCAGTCCCCTCAAAACCCTCTGAGAACTCTGCAAACGATTCCCAGTCTGACTCTGAAGAGGAAGATGGCATGAACTTTATGGAGAAAAGGGCTCTAAATGTAAAGCAAAACAAAGCAATGGTGGGTGCTCTGGTGATCACAACCCTTCTTAGCAACTCATTTCTTTTACCTCTTTTAAGAGCTGTTTCCATGGAGCTGAGATGACGTCATGATGTGTTTTGGATATTTATATTTGTTCTTATTTGGGGGGGAGGGAAGGGGCTGTGCTGTAAGTGTGTTGTCCTTGGAGGCCAGAAGAGGATATTTTGTGTTCCCTGGAGTTAGGTATGGTTGTCAGCTACCATGCTGGTGCTGGGAACTGAACCCAGGTCTTCTGCAAGAGCAACAAGCGCTTTTAACTTGCTAAGATTTCTCTTCAGCCCCTCCAGCTGCTTATTAAACTCCTTTGAGAGCTAGGATAAGCATAGTAGGGAAATCAGAAACCTTGACTGTCAACTTTAAAATTAAACAGAAAGTTGAGGAGTAACTGTATTTCTGGAAATTGCCTGTTGTCACCAGTTATAATTTCTGTTTACTTTCTTTCCCCCCCCCCCACCCCTTTAGCTTGCAAAACTCATGTCAGAATTAGAAAGCTTCCCTGGCTTATTCTCTGGAAGACATTCCCTCCCTGGCCACAGATCCAAAGGTGTAAGTACTTCTTTCTAAACTTGTTTTGGACAAGCCAGACAGATCTCTGTTTAGGATCTTATTTTTCTACTGGGGAATAGGGTCAATAGAAACAGCCTTCTTGAGGCTCTGGTGACCTTTGCATCTTGGACACTTCAGCCATACTCCTTTTGATCATCTCTCTTCTTCACACTAGCATCAAGGAAGATTGACAGCTTGTTTCTATGTCCCCAAGCAGCATGTTTTTGTACATGCTAGATGCAAAGTATGCATTTTTTAAAAACATATTGAGGGAAAGAAAGCACAATTTCTCTCGTATCCTCATTATGGTATTTGATTGTGTCCCAAGGGATTAAGCTGATCTGAAGGGGGTGGGTAAAATTTGTTGTGTTGGCTATGGCAGAAAAGAAAAGCCTGCGTTTGCCTTCTTCCTCATGGGGAGTCAGGCTGGAAGCCAGCAAAGAACGGAGGGAAGACTCCCAAGCATTCTTTGTATGATATGGAGGTAGCATATGTGTTCCAGGAGTCTAGAGATGTCATAGGAAAGGCTTTTGGGTCAGGAGCTCAGGTTTTACATATTCAGTAACTAAAATAGAAGAGTAAATGGAAGAAGAATTGAATAAATAAAAATTACAGTGGTTATATGACTTTAGGGTTTGTTTGCACGTTATGAAAAGGGCAAAGAAAATATGAAAATGGAGCTCTTCTTTTACCTAGAACTTCTTAAGGGAAAGTTGCAGGTTCCCCAGAGTGCTACTCCTCTCTGTAATAGAGCAAGTGGATCTATATCGTGTGTTTCATTCACCAGTCAAAGCCACCTAGAAGGCGCACATTCCCAGGTGTGGCTTCCAGAAGAAACCCGGAACGGAGAGCTCGACCTCTAACCAGGTCAAGGTCCCGGATCCTGGGGTCTTTGGGCGCTCTGCCCACGGAGGAGGAAGAGGAAGAAGAAGAAGATAAGTACATGCTGGTGAGAAGGAGGAAGTCTGTGGACAGCTACATGAATGTGAGTCCTCACCAGTATCTATCTCCTTATGTTTCCCATCTTCATGAAGCTTAGCTTTGAACACAGCCTCAGACCATTCCAAGTCATTAGTGTTGCATAAGCAGACTTAACCTGGTTAGCAGACAAGAGTCATATTTTCAGCTTATCGGTATTGTAGGAATTATTTCTATGCTTTTTGGACAGTTATCCTTACAGTAAGTTTATGTATGGGCTGCAGCCTTTCTCCATAAGCAAGAAACTTCCCTAGGTTGAGTTGAGTTTTCTGTGAAGTTTCAAAGGAAGCATCTTGAGATTTAGGGCTGCAGAGAGGGTCTCAGCTTTGTTCATGCGTCTTATTCAGGACGATGACGTGCCCAGAAGCCGTCGCCCTGGATCCATGACTCTTCCACATATAATTCGCCCAGTAGAAGAAGTTACAGAGGAAGAGATCAAGAATATTTGCAGCAACTCTAGAGAGAAGATCTACAACCGATCACTGGTGAGGGCCCCAAGGTTACGTATGTCTAGAAACAGAAGCACCCTCCGGAGGACAGACCGCATCAACCCTAAGGGGGGGTGTACATGGTGTATGGTCTGCATATTCATGCCTATACAGTTTTTTTTTCCTTTTCATAATCGGGAAGAAGAGTTTTACAGTATGCCAGGGATTTAATTAGTGTTTATGAAGTCTGCAGTAGGGTTATGTCTTCTAATTTATAAGTTGATGCATTCAGCTAGGGTTTGTTAAGGGTGTATGTATCGACAACTACTGGAAATGCAATGGTGAGCTAAAGATTTTTTTTAAGAAATGGATTTGGAAGAGGGATAAAAATGGTTTTGGGTGAAATTTTCTTTTTCCCTTGCTGGGGATCAAACCCAGGAACTCAAGTGGGTTAAACATGTACTCTGTCCTTGAACACCCCCCCCCCCCCACCAAGTAGTTTTGATGCTACTATTGTACCACCAATAGAGTGAGACTCCTGGCTTGGGACACTTGTCTGTGTGTAGGTACTAAGTGAACTTCAGACATCAAGTGTCAGGTCCTTTTTTTACCAGTGTGGGTATTCTTTGTGCAATTTTTTTGTTTGTTTGTTTTGTTTTTCTCTACAAAAAAGCAACGTTTGCTTCTTCTCTCATCCATTCCTCCTTTCAGGGTTCCACTTGTCACCAGTGTCGCCAGAAAACCATTGACACCAAAACAAACTGCAGAAACCCAGAGTGCTGGGGCATCCGGGGCCAGTTCTGTGGTCCCTGCCTTCGAAACCGCTATGGCGAGGAGGTCAAGGATGCTCTGCTGGACCCGGTAGGAGCCTTCAAAGGTTGGGGAGGGGCTTGAGCTCTTGGTGGCAGGAGTTTTTGGTGTGCTTGCTGTATGGATGTAACTATCCAGGCACCTCAGGCTGCTGCTTAGAAGTTGATTCTCTTCATCCCTGGGGGTTGTTGTGTAACTTTCTTGAATTATGTCTGTGTGAGTGTGTGTGTGCGCGCGCGTGTGCACGTGCACGATCATGTTTTGCCAGTGTGTATGTGTGTGTGTGTTCATGTTTTGCCAGGGATGGAACCCAGGGCCTTACATAGAGCTAGGCAAAAGTTCTCATGCTGAATCAGAAACTCAGACCCCTGTTTTATGACTAGTTATTAAAAACAAGAACAAAAAAACCACACAGGGTAGCTGGATGGTGATAACACACACCTTTGATGCCAGCACTTGGGAGGCAGAAGCATGTGGATCTTTGTGAGTTCCAGGCCAGCCTGGTCTACAGAGCGAGTTCCATGACAGGATCCAAAGCTACAAAAAACAAACAACAACAAAACCCCACAGGATAAATGAGTTGATGCTAAGTACTTTAATGACTAAAGAAAGAACCAATGGAGGGGATGTGATACTTATCTTTAAGTTTCCCACAATTCTTTAGAACTGGCACTGCCCACCCTGTCGAGGAATCTGCAACTGTAGCTTCTGCCGCCAACGAGATGGACGGTGCGCCACGGGAGTCCTGGTGTATTTAGCCAAGTATCATGGCTTTGGGAACGTGCATGCTTACTTGAAAAGGTAAAGGCCACTGTGGTTTTCTCTTTCATGTCTGAGTCTTATATTCGTTTATGTGCCTTAATAAGATGATAGAAGTCTGAAAAGTGGCTCTCTTGGGGTGGGGGAATGTTAGTGGAAATACATCTTCATTTGAACCAGTCATAGATTTAACATTCAGGTTGGATGTCTAAGATACGTGCATTGACAATACATTGACAATATGTATGTTAGGGCTCCATAATTTTTTTGAGAAATGAATTTGCTTTTCTAAAGAGAATTATTGTTTGAAAACTTGTCTTGACAGCCGGGTATTGGTGGCGCATGCCTTTAATCACAGCACTTGGGAAGCAGAGGCAGGTGGATCTCTGAGTTCGAGGTCAGCCTGGTCTACAAAGCTAGTTCCAGGACAGGTTCCAAAGCAATACTGAGAAACCTTGTCTCAGCAAAACAAATAACAAAAAAAAAAAAAAAAGGAAAGAAAACTGTCTTGACATCTTCCCCTTTGTGTTTCACAGTCTGAAGCAGGAGTTTGAAATGCAAGCCTGAAGATTGGCCACCTGCCTTTGGGCTTCTCAAGGCTCTCTTGTTCTTGATATTGTCGTTGATGGAAACCTGAATAAGAATCTTGGTGAGCAGTCTGTCTTAGAACGTGGTCAGGTTAATGTTGTTAGAGTCATACTTGTTTCTGAAACATCATGGAAGGCATACTTCTAGTTACATTTGAGCTACTGTAGTTTCCCAAAGCTTGCCCTGGCCCTACCTTGTAGCTTCTCTACTCCCGTGATCCTTTACCACCACTTAGTTTCTGAGATCTTTTTAGGCAGCAATTTTAAAAAGCGTATTTGTCGTATTGGTGGTGAAGTAGTCTCAGGATGTACCCAAGCACTTAGCTTGTGAACTAACGGTTCTGGTGAATTGCATAGAATGGCCCTTTAACTTGTTGACATAAAGAGTCAACACATTCAGTTAGTGTTCAGTGTTCTACTGGCTGATGTTTGAAATGGATAAGGCAAAGGCACAAAAAAGGTCTGAAAACGATGTGGAAAAATTAGTCATTATTGGGAAGTAGGGTAGCACATGGAATGATTTTCTGGAGACTACAACTCCTCTGTAACATGCTTGGTGTATACCTTGTCACAGTTGAGACCCGGTTGCTGCTGTGCTTAAGTTAGAGTGATTCATCCGGTTTATACAGTTACCCAAAGGTTTGTGGTAACGTGATACTGTAATTACTTAAGTTGCTGTAGAAAAGGCATTCCTGGACATTAAGATGCTGAAAATCTGCAATGGGCCGATTTGAAATCTTGATGTTACAAATCAGAAACTTAACTTCACTTTGGTTCCTGGTGATTTCCTGAAAAGGATACCCTGAGGGTCATGTCCTAAACAGTTTTGTAACAATGAGCAGTGATCAGTTAGAGATGGGTAGATTTGAACTTGTTAAAGAGTTACCTCTGCCAGTTTGCAGGCAGATGCTGGGAGTTACCCTCTTTCCCCTTTCTTTTAGTCGGGTCATTCGGTAAGTGACTGGTTACTGATTCCCTCCCATGTGTATCCTGTGACTGTGCCCTACTCTCGTGTAAATAAGCTTTTGCTCTGTAATGCTTTTATAAAGGGTTTTTATTTTAATAATAAAACATTTTGTTCTAACTTGTGTTTATTTTTGTTTTAAAAAAAAATTAGTATTACTATCTTAATCCTTTTCTCCCCTCGAGTTTTGAAAGGACATTTCTGCCTCTTCTGAAACTTTCTCTTTTGGATTGAGTTTTTGAGGCCCACAGCCAGCTCTTTTGAACAGGGTCCCATTTGATGACATGCCTCTTAGCTGCAATCAGACTATAATAACCACATTGACTGACAGAACACATATGCTTGGGAAGTTTTGTGTTGTGTTCCTTTGTCATTCACAGAACTTGGCCACTTTTATCCACTTTTCAAATACTTACTAAATGTGTTCCATGCCTTGATGTTTCGGGACTTTGAGAACCAGATCATACAAAAGACAAAAACTTTAGAGCCAGGCATGATGGTACATGGAATCCCAGCTCAGGAGAGACTAGAGCAGGAGGATTGCAAATTTGAGGCAAGCCTCAAAAAATCACTTCATTATTTTTTAAGATTTTAATTTATGTGTTGTGTGGGTTTCTTCTGTGTGTGTGTGTGTGTGTGTGTGTGTGTGTGTGTGTGTGTGTGTGTGTGTGTGCAGGTGCCCTTGGGAGGCCAGAAAAGGGTGTGGGATTCCATGGAGCTTGAATTATAGGCAGTTGTGGTCCACCAGATGTAGGTGCTGGGAACTGAACCCTGAGTCCATGGTGATCAGCAAGCACTCCTAATTGTGGAGCCACCCAGACTCCTGTAGAAAGTTCTTACAACTGGATTTCTGACCAGGATTAGTGAATCACAGTCTGCATGTCACATCCAACTTTGTATTCCTTTTCACATTTGTAAAGGGGTTGTTTTTGTTTTCTTTTTCAAAGCATTTGACAGGCTGGAGAGGCTCTTGGGAGGACCCAGCACTCACATGGTGTAGTTCACAGCCATCTACAACCCCAGTTTCAAGGAACACAATGCCCTCTTGATCTGTCAAAGGGGAAGAAAGCCTTACCCTAGATACACTTTCAATGGGAAGCTGTGATTATCTTTTACATACTTAGGGGGGGGGGATCAGGCTCAAAGCTGTTCTGGTGCATGGATCCAAAAGAAGTCAGTCACCTTTTAGAAACCAAGTCTTAGGACTTTAAGAAACCAAATTGAAATTCAACCCTGTTGAGTCTGTAATTGGGGAGCTTAAATAATAGAGGTCATATAAATTGGTTTATTTGGAATTTGTGACTGGTAATTGATTGAACTCAGGGTCTTTCACATACTCTTTAACACTGAGCTAAAACCCTAACTGACCTGCATAATTTTTCATGTTAGTATAACATGAAAATGGTTTTCCTTTACAATAATTAAGTATTACTGTTCATTGTGACACTTTATCCTTAGAGGAGCTATGTAGTCTACCACAGGAACTGTTGGGGAAAAAAACCTATGAATAATGTCTTCTGAGGGATGAAGGGAGGAAGTATTAGTGTTTTCTCATTACCAGGCAATCTCAACCATAAGTGTTCCTCCCTGGCTTTTTCTTATTTTTTTTTTTTTTTTTTTTGCTTGTTTACTTGTTTTTCAAGATGGTTTCTTTGTGTAACAGCCCTGGCTATCCTGGAACTCACTGAGATCCACCTGCCTTTGCCTCCCAAGTGCTGGGATTAAAGGCATGTGCCACCACTGCCCAGCTTAATTTATTTTTAATTTATGTTCATTGGTATTTTGCCTGCATGTATGCTTGTGTGAGGGATCAGATCTTAGAGTTACAGACAGTTGTGAGCTGTCATGTGGGTGTTGAGAACACAGGTCATCTGGATGAGCAGTCAGTGTTAATCACTGAGCCATCTCTCTAGCCTTTTCTGTCCCGATTTTGAGATAGGAACTTGGTATGTGATCCAGGCTGGTCCTAAACCCCAGGAAAGGACTTTAAATTTTATTTAAGCTGAGCTTGCCTTAGCAGAAACAAGAAAACCTAGGAAGATGGCAAGGTTCAGTCTGGAGAAGAAGGCTGGGTGCCCGGGCAAACCCAGTTGAGAAAATGCTGGGAGGAGGTGAGGCCTCCTTTGGACTCTGGCTTTGAGAGAGATAAAGGCTCAGGAGAATGAGGGTGTGGAGTGATGGGAACTCAGGGTGGTGGATTATCTGCATGAATGTCAGAAAGCAAAAGCTTTAGCAGCATGAGTGAAAATCCTGTAAGCCAAAGGCACTAGGTACTAGTCAAAGGATTAGGTGCTTGAAGGGGGACAGGTGGATAAGAGAAACTGACAGGTTTCAGAGATAGGCTTTTATCCACATAGTACCATTTTATCCATAAAGACATTGGAGGGAAAGAACAAAGAACATATAAGCAAAGCCACTCATACTTGACTTTACTTAGTCTCCTTGGAAATTTGGGGTTTTGCAACACTGGAATATCAAATTGAGGGCTGGCAGACATCCAGCAGAAACTTATGGGGAAGTTGAGGCAATCAGCTGGAATTCCCAGTTGAGCTTTCTATCCATGGATGAGTTTCCAGTGTCTAGCTTTCCAGTCCCACTGTGGGCATTCTTATACTTTGGGATAAACAATAGTCACATTGCTGGAAATGGTTTAATGTCTAGTTGTTCTAAGGGCTACACACACATTAAGAATGTAATCTTGCTGGCCAGTGGTGGCACACACCTTTAATCCCAGCTCTTGGGAGGCAGAAGCAGGTGGGTTGCTATGATGTGAGGGCAGCCTGGTCTACAGAGCAAGTTTCAGGATGGTGGGGGATACACAGAAACCCAGTGTTGAAAAGCAAAAAAAAAAAAACTGAAAATTTTAATTTTTTTTTGGGGGGGGAGAATAGGGGCTGGCAAGATGGCTCAATAGCTAAGAGCACTTAGCTGTCCCCCATCAATGGACTGTAACCCAGGACTGAGCTAAAAGAAACCCTTTCTCCTCTAGATTGTCTTTGTCAGATTATTTTATCACAGCAGGTAATGAAATGATAACACATGCATGTAAATATTCATGCATTTGCTTCTGTATTAGCATTATATATATTAATAACTGATATTGCTACATATCCTTTCAGAATAATGATTACTAAACAGTGAATATTGTGGCAAAACAATGTAATTTTGTTTTGGTTCCTAGAGTAGTAAGACAACTACAACTACTCTGTGTGATTTGTTGTGTTATGTTTTGTTTTGCTTTGCTTTGCCTTGCTCTTTGTTAAACTAGGTTGGTCTTGAACTACTGATCCTTCTCCTTTCTAGGATTACAGATGTTCACTACTGTGCCTGCCCAGATCTGCATGTGTTTCTATAACCTCTTGCTGCTAGACACATAGCTGCATGTATCCACCATATTCTTTTCCCTTACTTGCCTTCCTCGTTTAACAATATGTGTGGGTGAGATAACCATAATTCCTATTATTCAAGGAATGTAGGAGGTGAAAGTGCTTGCCACCAAAGCTGACAACCTGATTTGAGCCCCAGAACCCACATGGTGCAAAGGAAGACTCCCAAGTTCTCTGAACCTCCATACGTCTGTGGTGGCAAACATAGACTCACACACACCACACACAGACCCCACACACACACATACCATACACACATACCACACACAAAAATACACCACACACGAGAAAAAGTTAATTAAAAAATAATACTATAGAAAGAATCCTGAAGTAATACTTAAGTAGTATATGAATATGGAATTAAATGTAAATGTTGTTGCTTCTTAATGACCATCAGTGTGGCTGGAAAGTAGAAACCACCACAGGAGCTTGCCTGTGCTTCAAGGATTTGACCATTTTGAGGCTGATGCTTAAGGAGGAAAGTATATAAATAAAATTCCTTTATGCAAATTCTTCCAGCTACTCATTGCCAGCCAAATTCTTGTAAATCATGATAAACAGATGCTACTGAACTAAATACGTAAGTAAAATTATGGAGATCAAGTCTATTTATCTTATTTTTCAGTGTTGGGGAGGGAGAAAAAGATATTAACTAAATTTTCTCTGCCTGCACGATGATTAGGGCAGACACTAAGAACTCTATTAATTGATTTCAGCAGGCACAATGAGGGCACTAACCCAGTGGAGAGCTACCCTGAAAGATAGCTCCTGTGGCAATTTAGTTTGTTTTACCATAGAACCAGGCAGGCTTCGGAAGCAATCTAGCATCAAGCATACTGGGTTTCTTATCTGGTTAGTGTTTAACAT